TTTCCAAAAATTTCAACAATTATTTCAGATTGGCCTAAGGCTGCAACATTTTGTTTGACTTACAAGTCAACAAATTCAGCATGCCCTTGTTATTTTTGTTTAGTTGATAGAAATAAACTTGCTGATTTGAAGATTTCTGAATGCGAATTAGAATTTAGAAATTATGAAAATATGCAAAATTATTTAAAAAATAGTGAAGAAACTTTAGTATCTATTGAATCAGTACAAAATTATTTTTGGAGATTCAAGTAAATATGAATTTTTATATAGTTATATACAAATTTTCACAAATTTTCACAAATTTTTGTTATTATTCAATTTTTACGTTTATATTAATTTATTTTAAAAGTTTTTGCAAATTTTTGTAATTATATATGTTTTATATAAAATTTCAAATTTTTGCGATTTTATTCACATAGATTTTATTTCAAATCTTTTGCAAACTTTTGCAAGTTATATATATTTGTATAAAATCGTATATTTTGCAAACTTTTGCAAAAGTGCATAATTTTTTATTATATATTATATAATTCTAATTTTTTACAAAAGGTTTTGCAAATTTTCGTATGTTTATATGTTTATATGTATAATTCTAAATAGTTTTGCAAATTTTTGTAAAATTTTTTAATTTTATATATTTATATAGGGATATGTTAATTATAGCAGGTTGTTATATCACAGTTGTGATATCGCAACTGATCTACTTAATTTAAATAAATATTATGCACAGGTTGTGATATCACAGTTGCAATATTGCAACTGATCATATATGTAATGTAAATATTATGCACAGAGATCGCTTGAATAATTATTTTGATAAATATTTGTAAAGCTGTAAATACGTACAATTTTTATCTTTTAACTATTGTAGTAAAGTTTCGTACATCTTACCTTTGTCGGTTCATTGTTTTCATAATAAACCAGTATCGCATTAACTAATATACAGTATTCCATGTCGCTTAATTAATCCTGTGATAGCAGTCATGTCAAATAATTTCTCAGAGTTTTTCTTTCTCGGATCCATATATTCGTGCTTTTAATGAAGAACAGAGTAGTAAGTTAATGATTTTTATAATGCAAAAAAAAAGAAAGAAATTAACCGGTGAAAAAGTTGCTTACTATTTGAATTTTCTTTATAGCATTCTCGATGCCATTCGATTTTTTTCTTTCTAATAATTTGACCAACAACAATTCTTATGATCCAAGTCTTAATTTTAATCGGCTGACTGAAGAATCTATGCAAATAATTCAAGAACAAGTTAATACTCAAGAAGTTATTTAAGTAGCATATAAGCAACAAGATGATAAAGAGTGTGACTATGATCTGACCAACAATTCTTATGATCCAAGTCTTGGTAACAATGTTAATTTTAATCGGTTGACTAAAGAATCTGTACAAATAATTCAAGAACAAGTTAATACTCAAGAAGTTACATATGAGCAACAAAGCGATAAAAAGTATGAATATGATGATGAAGAGTTTGAACATGACAATGAAAGAAATGATAATGTAATTAAAGTCGGTGCTCCTTTTACTAGTTGGGAGTGTTTAGAAAATGCATTGAAAAGATATGAATCAGAAGTCAGATTCAAAGCAATAAAATTTCAGTTGGAACGTGATAGTAATGGAGCTATAATTCGCCGATATTTTGTCTGTGAAAATTCAAAAGAGCATCAACCTAAAAAAAAGACTGATAGTATGGATCATAGAGAAAGGAAATCCAAAAAAGTTGGATGCCCGTGGCAACTCAATGCAAGATATCGAAAGAATGATGGTATAGTAATTAATAAGTTGATTGAAAAAATAATCATTTACTTGTTCCATATCGCAAAGAATTTGCCCCAAGTTTACGTTCCTTTTCACAAGAAGTCCTTGATGATATTAAATTTTTAACTCAAGAATGTGGCCTTGGTGCGAATGCTCAACGTCGATACATTTCAAAGAAATTTCCCGAACAACCTTTGTATGACCATGATCTCTATAATGCTATATGTAAATACAAAAATCAATTAGGTTATAAACGTGAAAATGATGCAGCTGAAATGGTAAAATGGCTCATGAAGCAAAAAGAGGAGGAGCCAGGATGGGTAGTTTATATTGAGTTCGAGGGTATTAATAATAATCTTTCGTGACTTTTTTGGATGTCACCAATACAAATAGAATTATGGAAGCGTTACCACAATGTAGTAGTTAATGACAATACTGCAAAAACAAATGTTTATAATATGTTGTTGAATCTCTTTGTAGTCATTGACAATCACCATCTAACAAGGCTTGTAGCACAATCACTAATTCAAGATGAGACTATTAGCTCTTATAAGTGGATATTAAATTGTATTCTAAAAGCAAATGACAATTTATCTTCCCAAGTAATTTTTACTGATGCCGATCCTGCCATGGTTTCTGTGGTTAATCAAGTTTTTCCAACTGCCAAGCATAATTATTGTATATTCTATATACAAACAAATATTGCAAAGAAATTGTCTCGAAAGCTTGGCAGCTCTTATAATAACTTCTTACAAAGCTAGTTTAAATACCGTAATAATCGTAGTGAAGCAGAATTGATACATCGTTGGGAAGAGCTATTGGTTAAATATCCTGCAAGTGAAAGTTACTTAAAACAACTTTGGAAATCTCGATATTCATGGGCCAAAATCTATGTATGCACGACTTTTTGTGCTGGGATGCAAAGCACCCAGCGAGTAGAAGGAATAAATAGGCATATTAAAACTGAAGTTAATGCAAAAACGTCACTTCTTAATTTGGGAAAAGCTATTCAAATAAGGCTTGAGTGTGAATCACAGTATCAACGGCTTTCTGAATATAAAAATTCATTACCAATTAAAGGGCTTCCAAGTTTTCAAAGTGTTTTTTTTGAACCTATTCAAGACATTATCAAAAAGTATCTAACATTAAAATCTTCTTCAGTTCAAAATGAGCAAATATCGCAAAGTATTTTATATTGTGCTTGTTTATTTGAACCTTCAAAGGAACTAACTATGGTATAGCTTTATACTATAGCTTTATATTGTATAGGATAGCCAATACGGTTATTATTTTATTTAACTAATATTTTCATTAGCTTCCTAGCGCTCATGAATGTACAGATGGGTATCTTGAAGACGAATACGATGCATTACAAGCTTCGCTTGAAAACATTATGAATATAGTTAACTACAAACATATTCTTGAGATTTGGAAAGTTTTATTATTTGATCATCATGATCATAGTTATCCTCATTATGTTATACTTTTAATTGATGGTACACATCTTTGTACCTGTCTTTACATTATTTCAAATGGTTTTTATTGCAGGCATTTTTTCTGTGTTTTTAAAATGTCTCGCAATGCCAAATTTGACATTAAGCTTATATCCAAGTGATGGTATACTGATCAAATGCAAGTGTCTGACTATTCAGTAATTACAGGCAGTGATGCTACAGAACTCGATATGAATGAGGAAATAAATCAAGTAGTTTCCATTCGTGGATCTAATACGTATCAAGCGACTATTCATGCAAGTATTACCGAAAAACAAGAATATGCACATGGTTTCGGCATAGCTAAAAGTGGGCTAAAGTTTGCTATGGAAAATGGATTAGTTAATGAATTCGTGGGATTGATAGTAAAATTTATTGAAAACAATTCTGAGGTTAATACCAATAAACGAATGACTGTTGATATCAACCAAATTGAAAATCCAAAGAAGTCAAAGCATAAAGGACATCCAAAGTTACAAAATTCTACTCAGCAAGACATTCCTAAAGACATAAATCCAAAACAAGACTTAAATAAAAGACAAGACTTGGATTCAGAGCAAGATTTAAATTCAAACCGATATAAGTTAAGAAAAAGAGCCGAAACTGATAGTGAGAATGAAAATTGTGTAAGTTCAGGAACAAAAGAAAATTCTGCTTCAAAAATAGAAGCTTGCCACTGTGGTAATTGCTATGGGACTGGTCATTACGCTACTACATGTAAATTTTCTAAGAATCACTTTAAATAGACTGTTATAAAGCTTAGATGGTATGTATATTCTTGTACTGTATTATTTGTTGAAATTTTCTTGCCATAATTGTATTAAGTTACATTCATATCATTTTTAAAAAAAATTTTCAGTTCTTAGTTCTATGAGATAGTTTTCTGTTCTGCGATTTATATATACATCATTCATGTAAAAGCGTTTGTTAAAGCATGAATTAGATTTGATACATGTTTTGTCTTTCTAACTGAATAAGAAATTATGTCTTTAATGAAGCTAGTTTTAGTCTTATTTTTTTAAGAAAAAAGTAATCGTTCAAATTTAATAATAGTATGTTTATACACTTGCAAAGAAACTACAACATTCTTACGTATGTACATATGTATATACTTATCGGTATCTTACATATTTATTATGTATGTGTTGACTATAAAAGTAATCGATTAATATGTTCTTTATGATATATATAGTACTTTTTTTATGTTATTTTAACCAATAATACCAGAGTGGCTCCAGTTGATGATTAATATCACTGCAGTAATATAGATGACGATAATAACTTTAATACGTACATATGTACGTACGTACATACGTAGACGTTAGTAGCTCACCCACAAAAAATTTTCCGGCCATGTGACTTTTTTATGGCACTAGCCAATTATATTTCGAGA